CCACATGGTTTAGCCAAATGGCCTAGTCATGGGCCTGGTGCTCGGTTTATGAATCTGGTTTATTAATCTAATAAGATCCCAGGATTCTCCTTGCAGGGATCCGTTCCTAACTGTTCAAGGTGTCAACGACGACAAAAAAAAAAAACAAACAAAAAAACCCAAAACTTGATGCCCGTTTCTTAGCACCAGAATTAGTGGTCAGTTAGTGGCCAAGGAAAAACCTGTTGGTGCTTTTGGTACAACGAGAACCTCCTGGGAGAGGATTCCCCATTGACCATGGTTTTCTATAACTGGGTTCCCAGTGCCGTGCTCACCCAACATAGGTGCTACTGCTAATGGGTTCAGTCCTTTGTCTGGAGACGCGGTTTATAAGCCGATGGAAGGTTCTCTCCCAAAGTGTGTTCAAGGGGCATTGTCACTCAGTACCCCTGATGAAACTACAGCTAGAGCAAAGAAAAGCCTGCTTCTGTTACCATGCACCCCAGGCCGATTTGATCATGAGGGAAAATTGCCTTACACACATTCACACACATAAAAAGACAGATCCCCTTTAGGCCAATAGTGGGATACAAATCAATTTGGTCTGTTCCCCTAGGACCCCCACTAGGAGACTAGACAGTGATGGTTCAATGGGTCCTTCTCAATTCCCAAAGCTAAAAAACAAAACAAACAAAAAAACCACCAGTAGGATACTTTGTAACTCTCTGGCTAGAAACATCAGGAACTTCTCAATTCTCCAGAAAGTCTTGGAGCTCACCAAGGAAGCAAACTAGTGCCTACTCTTCTGGTAGAAATATGAGACTTTCTCATTTTGTAAGCTTGGAAGAATGCTGAAAATTGGTGCACACCCAAACCAACCCCCTGATTATCTCCCCCAGTCCTATGTGGAGAGACAAATGATTCCCTTCACAGGCAGTCCAGGGAATAGAACTGGGTTTTTACTGTCAATTATTTCCAAAAATGTACACAAAGTTGCAGCTTTTAATGCAAAAATATCCACAAGGGGGTACTTACCTCCTTGCCCAGAGATCTTGGGTTTCAGGGGAGAGTCCGGTCACAGCCACAATTCCCTAAAAAAAAAAAAAAAACACTCGTCAGGTGGAAAATGTTCACCCGGGCCCAAAGAAGCGCAAGATTCTTCTAAGGACCTGGGGGACCTGGCCTTCACCCTAAAATCCCCCATGCCAAAACTGTAACAAGTAAAAATGGCGCTGAAGCATAGTTTTCTCTAGGGCAGGATGGCATTTTAGTAACAGTAACTTGTATACTGTTAGTAAAAAGGTCTCGCTGGCACCTCAGCAAAAAACCAGGGCATGAGCAATTTCTTAGGCTAGCAGTAACCAATAAACTGGGTTCGTGGCCTCTCTGGATGACCAAAGACCCCAAGTGAGGGCCACCAGGGTCTTTTAAACCTAGGTGTGTCTTCCTTCCGATTGGCCCAACAGTCCATCATTGGGACCGCCCTCGGCAAAGGTAAGACAAGCCCAATTGGTAGGCAGGTTGGCCTTCAGGTGTGGATGCTCACACCCCTCCCTGGCAGTGAAGGAATGCTAATTGTTTGATGGGCATCAACTGCCCATAGTAATCTTGGTCAGAAAATCAGGACCATCCCAAATGGGATCCCCCTGGTTTTGTCTTCCTTGTGGAGATTAAGTTACCCCTCCTTTCAGCAAGGAGGCAGAAAGACAGGAGAATAGTTCCCTGGGGAGGGGCCCAGCCCCAACTGGTTAACAAACAGGTGCTTTGGGGGGCTGAAGTGCTCAGGTTACACCCTTTAGGAACTTCCCGTGATCTCGACTGAGACATGGGGTCTGACAAAACATCCCCGTTTGTCAGGATGGATTTCAGATGAATCTGATGCAGCATAATACTAATGCTCCCCAGATCTCAGTGTGAGGGGCTGCTTAAATTCACTGTTAACCTAAACGTAATTCCCTTGAGTTGTGAACAGTGTATCTTAATTTATCCAGTTAGTGTGGAAAACCGTAGTTATCCTGGAGTATGTTTCATAAGTGGGGACGTTACGGAATCTCAGAGTTGAGAGAGTTGGCAGGGACCCCTCCCCCTGCCCTGCCATCCCGGCTCTGCTGGAAGGCTCCAGGGGGTGTGGCATCTCCAGTTCATACCCATTGCGTCTGCTTCCACCCTCAGGTCAGAAGGAACAGGTGTGATCCCTCCCCTGGGGTCTTCTTTCGGCTCCAGACCCACCCAGTTCCCTCAGCTGATTCTCATGTGACGTAGACTCAAGGCCCTTCTCTGGACACCCCGCCCACTCATTCTTGTCCTTATGCTGGTGGCCAGACCTCGGCCCAGTCCTCCAGATGAGCATGATGAGAACACAGTACTGAACGTCATCATTCCCTCTTCCTGGCAGCTGGGCCCCTCCTAATGCAGCCTGGGATTGCCTGGGCTCTTTGGCCTCTATAGCTGACTGCTGACTCATTAGTGATCCACTAACACCCTCAGATCCTTTTCAGAACTCTTCTCTAAGCATCTTGTACTTGTAAAGTTGGGTTTTTCCAACTTGAGTACAAGACTTTACATTTCTCACTATTTAATTTCATCTTATTCGATTTATCCCAGTGCCGTGGCTTTTTAAGACCTTTTTGGGTGCTGTGTCATCCACTGTAGTTCTTTAAGCCTTTCTCTAAGTCATTGATAAAACTGTTAACCAGACCAGGGTGGAGGCTGACCCCTGGAGCACTCCACTGGAGACCTTGGTCATTTACCATCCACCATTTCTGCTTGACCACTTCTCAAGGCATTTAAATTGTGTCATCCTCTAATCCATCTCTATCCCCAAATGCTAAGTTAAAGCTTTGCCAGGGCCCGTGTGTCCCATATCTAGAGCATTCCCCTTGTCTGCCCTGGGCCAGTATTGTCAGAAAAAGGCACCGAGGACAGCCTGTCAGGTCCGTTCCTGGGGCGGCCGGGCCAGTTTTGGGGAGGCCCTGCTCCCATCTCTCCAGTGAGCCATTCTGGGACTTTCCCAGGAATCAGTCAGCGGGCTCGCCGGCCTATTCTCTGACTTTTTTGAAAATCCAGACGTTCACCTCTCCAGGCTTGTGCTCCCTGCCTCCTTTTCTATGGTCTTTCATGCCATGGGTTCATGCTTCTTCCTGAGCCGGGCACAGGCCTCTGCATGGCGGCCCCTCCCTATCGGGCCCTTTGGTCCTCCCATTCCCAGGGCAGCAGCTCCGCCTCTCCTGGGCGGCTTTGTTCCGCTCAGCCCCAGGGAAGGCCCCAGTCTGCCCTTCACTCCTGGGACTCATTTCTCTCCTGTTTTGGTCAAACCCTCTCTTCTTATTGTGGCTTCTCTGTCCACCTCCGCTCTTTCTGAGCTCTGGCATCCCCCTTCTTACAGGACGCTGCTCTTGTGGTCATCTGCTGCCGGGCCTTGCTTCCCATCTGAGTTAGAATGTGAGCTCCCTGAGGGCAGGGAGTGTCTGACTTTCTGTTTGACTCCACTGGGCCTAGCACTTAGTAAGCTTCCTTCATTCCTTCCCACACTCCTCCTTCCTCCCCTCCAGTGACCGCTCCTTGTCATGACTCCATGACCTTGACTTCCCCTCTGGGTCCTGGATGTTCTCATGCGGTCACACGAGTCGCCTTGTTAGGAGATGGTGCTACTGCTCCTTCCCCTTTCATTTATCCCATTTTACAGCTGTCTCCTCTATTCGATTTTGTCTCCTATGAGTTTGGGGATGTCAACTACTTTTCTTCTTCCGTCTTTGTAGCCATTAGAGTGTAAGCTCCTTGAAGGCAGGGACTGTCTTCTGCCTCTTTTTGTGTCTCTGGTGCTTAGAGCACTGCCTGGCACAGGGCGGGCACTTAATGTTTGTTGACTGACTGGTATCTGACTTGAGAAGTGTCTCATCTATAAAATGAGCTGGAGAAGGAGATAGTAAACCACTCCACTCACTGTCTCTGCCAAGGAAACCCCACATGGTGTCACAAAGAATCAAACATGACTGAAACGACTTCCCCCATCTTCTTCCCCGTCCTTTGTCATTGGAAGTCCTTTTTGATGAGGTGTGCAAGGCGCCTGCAGATACATTCTTAGCAGCCTTGTTTGGGGGTTTTTCTTGGGCCAGGCATCTGTCATCCCTCTGTTTTAAACTGGGGTTCAGGAGTCCAAACCCCAGTTCTCAGACACCCACCTCAGCCAGTGCCCAATCTCCAAATGTATTTTTCTCTTCTGTGTCCTTTGCCTGCAGTGGGCAGCGGGGATGGAAAGCACAGCCTGTGCCCTTGAGGTCTTCAGTCTCTTGTCCAGCCCTTCACAGATGCTGGCAACCTCGGTCGGTCTCGTCTGTGTTCAGGTGAATTGCCGGCAGGAGGGCGCTGGCGTCTGCTTGGCTAGGTCGTGGGGACCTGCCCCCGGAAGCCATCAGTTTTGCCATCTGTCATCACAGCCTCTGTTCCCCTGAGCAGGGAATCCTGGCTTTCTCCTCCTCTTTGCCCCTTCCCTGTGGATCTCTGCCGAGAGCTGCCGTGCCCGGTATGTGGTGTCTGCCCTCCTCGGGAGGACTTCTTCCTCACCGTGGCAGCACGGGCCTCAGGCCTGTTCTTAACCCCCCCTCGTATGGCATTCCTTTCCTTTCTCTTTGTCCCGTGTAACAATCTGCTGCTATCTCAGGTGCTGATGTAATGAGTCCTGTGGTACTGGGAGACAAGTAAGTTCCGTGTCCTGGCCTGGCATTCCTTTGGTTGATTTTACTTGTGACAGTTCAGACACTGAGCATCTCACCTGGAGCACACGTTGGGGTCTGGGAGGAACACCAGGTTCCCTCCTTTTTTGGGGGGTTTATTTCTCATTAGGGCACCCCTTCTCGTGATCAGGGAGCTGGTGTCCCAAGGGGAATCCTGTTTGGAGGTAAATACGTGCCTTCAGTGATCGTGGAGAAGCCTCAGCAATGGCCTTGTGGTGTTGGCTTGTGTGTGCTTTTGACATTTCCAAATCCCGAGCCTGACCGGTTCTCAAATGTGTGGTGTTACAGGAACCGGGAAGAACAAAATCTGGTCGCTTATCCTCACGATGGAAAAATCTACTTCTGCACCTCCCAGGATATCCCTCCGGAAAATGAGTTGCTGTTCTATTACAGCCGGGATTACGCCCAGCAGATTGGTGAGCTGGTGCTCTGATTCCTTTTCTTTCATAAATCATGGGTACAAAGAATGGGAGGAGCAGAAATCAGCCTCGTTGCGGATACTAACTTGTGTCCCTTTGTGGCCGCCCGAGAGGCCTCAGTCTCCTTCCACAGGATGAGGATGTCCCTTCACACCCCAACCTCCGCTGGGGCCGGGCGTTGGGTGGCTCCGAACCATTGAGATTCTGGGATGGAAAGAAAGGTCAAGGCCAGGAGTGGGGAACCTGTGGCCTTCTAAAGGACAAATCCTTGTGTTAAGGGGATTCATTCTGTGAAGTTTGGGTTCAGAGAGCTGCACTTGAGGGCCTAGGGGCCGCAGGTTCCCCACCCCTGGTCAAGGCTGAGCCTTCTCCCCTCCTCTCCTGGGAGACAGTGGCAGGGAGATCTTGCATTTCTAAATGTCCACGTGTGATTCCACAGTCACACCCCACATAGTGGCGCCCTTCCCTTAGTCCACTGTGGTGACCTTCACAGGACCGTGAATGGGCAGTGGGAGGTCCACGGAGGCCGTTGAGTCCTGCCCCTTGTTTCACAGAAGAGGGGATGAGGCCCACAGGGTTGACAGTGCGCATGGGTGCCCAGGGAGCCCAGTTCTCAGACTCCAGGCCCTCTAACCATAGTGGCCTCGCACCCCGCACAGATGTTTTGTGGTCCTTGGCCCTGAGGACTAGTCGTCCCTCTCACCTTGTGCCCTGTGTGAGACCCGTGCCGTCTGCTCCGAGGTTCTGGTCCAGCCGAGGGCTGGGGCCACTGTTGACACCTGGTTGTGCCAGGTGGGAGGTGTGCCCAGAGCTGTGCCCTGCGCCTTTAGGCCCCTCCTCAGGGCAGTCCCTTGTCTAGGTGGCACGGGTGGGCTCTCACGCCGCAGCCTTCTCGTGCTTAGCCTCATTTTGACTTGCTCTAACAAGTCGGTCGTGGCCGACGCAGGAGGGACTCCCATGCCGGTGACAGAGCGCTGCGGTAAGGCCTTGTTTCCTGCCTGTACGTGTTGGCCCATCCGTCCCCATCCTGTCCGTCTGAGTGTCTGAGGAAAGCTGGGGCTGGTTCCTCGTCCCGGGTACAGAGTGGCCGGCGGCGGGTGTCCATGATGTCTCTGGTCCCAAGGTCCCGAGGCACGGATGGGGCCTAACCCAGGTGCTTTTGCCTGTAGGTGTTCCTGAGCACCCAGACGTGCACGTTTGTAACTGTGGCAAGGAGTGCAACTCCTACACAGAATTCAAAGCTCACCTGAGCAGCCACATCCACCACCACCTCCCGAGCCAGGGCCACGGCGGCGGCCACGGGCCCAACCACAGCAAGGAGAGGAAGTGGAAGTGCTCCATGTGTCCGCAGGCGTTCATCTCGCCATCCAAGCTCCACGTGCATTTCATGGGCCACATGGGGATGAAGCCCCACAAGTGTGACTTCTGTAGCAAGGCTTTCAGCGACCCCAGCAACCTGCGCACGCACCTGAAGATCCACACAGGTGAGGAGGGGAGACCCCGGGGGGGAGGGCCCCCGACCCCCAGGCTGCCCCTGGGGCACTCCCTCCCCCCCGGGGCGGGGCCTCCTACGGGGGAGTGGGGGGGGGGCCTCACGAGCACGTCCTTTGTGCCGCTGCCATCCAGGCCAGAAGAACTACCGCTGTGCGCTGTGTGACAAGTCCTTCACCCAGAAGGCTCACCTGGAGTCGCACATGGTCATCCACACCGGCGAGAAGAATCTCAAGTGTGACTACTGTAACAAGCTCTTCATGCGGCGGCAGGACCTCAAGCAGCACGTGCTCACCCACACACAGTACGTAACGTAGGCCAGGCGGCCCGGGGCCTCTCCAGGCCTCACTTTCTGCATTTGTAAAATGGGGGAGGCTGGACCCGTTACACCCTGCATCTTGTGTGGCTCGTCGAGGATCGGGACTTGGGCAGTGATCGGCCCACCGTCGTGCTCCGTTGGTGGGGTGGGGCTCTAGCCCGGGTCTCGCCTCCAGGCACAGGGTTCTGCCAGTTCTGCCACACTTGTGGGGGTGTGTGGAGGAGCAGGGGTCGGGGCTGGCCTGAGGTCGCCTCCAAAAGCGGGCTTTCTCTTTGTGCTCCCCAGAGAGCGGCAGATTAAGTGTCCCAAGTGCGAGAAGCTCTTCCTGAGGACAAATCACTTGAAGAAGCATCTCAACTCCCACGAAGGAAAGCGCGATTACGTCTGTGAAAAGTGCTCCAAGGCTTATCTGACCAAATACCACCTCACGCGCCACCTGAAGATCTGCAAAGGCCCAGCCTCCGGCTCATCAGCCCCGGAGGAGGAGGACGACGACGACTCAGAGGAGGAGTTAGGAGACCCCGTGGGAGCCGAGGAGTGTGGGCTGAGCGGGGCAGTGTATGCCGCTGCCACCGCCGCTGCCGATGACGGCCTCCCCGCGCACAAGTGAGGCTGCCCAGAAGAGGGAGAGCCGGGACGCCCCCACCCCACCCGCTTTTTTATGTATAAATGCAGCTTTTTATTTCTTTCCAGCCAGTGGCCAGAACGGACCGAATGAGAATGGGCAGAGCGCTTGAGGAAGCCTGTATCCTCATTTCCACAGCCATGAGAGGAGAGCAGGCAGCAGGGAGAGAGCGGCAGCCTCCCAGGGCCGTGTCTGAGCCGTTTAGAGCCTCCGCTTGCAGTGACACTGAGCGAGTCAGACTGTGGCAGATGCCATCCCGATGGCACCTCGAAGGTCAGGGCTTGCCCCCTCAGCTCCCTCGGGTACGGTAGCACATCACAGAGTCACTCCTGAGGCTCCCCCCCAAAGGAAGGGTCGTGGCCTAAGGGTTGCGGTCTAACTTTGGCTGTTGTGTGGGCATTCAAAGCAGCTTTCTCCTTGGGCCCAGACTCGCCTGTCCACGTCCACCGCCAGGCTCTGGGGCACTGATGGCTCATGGGGTGGGGGGTGGGGGGTGACAGGATAGCTACCCAGGGACCACCAGCTACCTGGAGACCAAGGGACTGAGGCTAGGCAGCTGTGTACAAGGGGGGAGAGTGGACAAGGCCCCTGAAAGAGGGGCCTGCCAGGGGTTAGAGGTGGGCACCACTGGCAGAGTTCTCTTGGCCAGAGCAGTGAGGTGGTCCCTGGAACGGCCGCCAGGCAAAAACAGAGAAGGATCAGCGACATTTAGGCGAGACCCAGGAGCTTTTCCATCTGAACAGCTTTGCCTTCCAAGGAGGGGTCATGGGCCTCCAGGGCAACCTGACACCAGAGGGGCATATGAGAAACCGGGACGCGCCAGTGCCCAGGAGACAGTGTGGTGCTGCCGGCAGGCCTCTTCTCAGGCTGCCGACTCAGAGCATGGGGCGCCCTGCTGGCTGACACCGTTTCTGGTGCCAATCCCATGTAGACGAGACTGGGAAGGTATTGCTGCTATTCTATTTATTGAATGAATATATTTCATTCAAACCTGTACTCTAGGAAAAATTAAAATCAAAACCATTTTTTAAAGAAAAGGCATATTGTTTGCAAAATGTGTGTGTATGTTTAAAGCGCGGCTTGGGGAAGGAAACATCCTGTCAGCATCTAGTGGGGTTTCAGTCCAGCAGTGCTTTGGGCCATCTTCCCTGTCCTTCCCCCCGGCCACTGCTTCTTCTGTTCCTTCTGCCTTGAGCTTCTCCACATCAAGGAAGATAACATTTTATTAACAGGGGCACTGCCTTCCAACAGAAAGGTCAGTGGCTTGCCTCAATTTAACCAAAGATCAGGAATTGGCGATGCCACTCAATTTAAAAGTGTGGAACAAAGAAGAGCATGGGGCAGGTGGGAAAGTAATACGATTGGGTATAAGGTGGGCAGCATCGTGGGGGGAGGACAGCAGGACTGGTGACATTAAGGAGAGCACATGGGATCAGGACCCCCCCCCTTTAGAGGAATGCTTTGTGGGTTTAAGGGCCCAGCTGCATCCTGAGGCTGTTGATAGTGGAGCAGGAATGTGGACTCACCAGCTCCTGGGAATGAGAGAAGACCACCCTTAATTGGGCAAGGAGAAGCAGAGGATAACGTACAGATGGCATGGAGTTTCTCAGGAGCTGAAATTTCCTTGGCACGACGTGATTTACAGGTCCGGTTCCCTTAGATTTTACAGTTTTGTTTTTTGGGTTTTTTTTTTTTTTTGGCAGTTGGGGTCAAGTGACTTGCCCAGGGTCACACAGCTAGTAAGTGTCAAGTGTTTGGTCTGAGGCCGGATTTAAACTCAGGTCCTCCTGACTTCAGGGCCAGTGCTCTATCCACTGCGCCACCTAGCTGCCTCTAGAATTAGAGTTTTTTATGAGAGTGTTGAACCTCAGAACTTGGCTCAGAGTGTTTCTTCAATTAAAGGTGATCGATAGGGACAATAAACTTTGGCATCTAATTGAGAGGAAGGCAGAATTTTGGAACTCACAAGCTGCTTCACTCAGGGACAAAGAAAAGGCTCAGGTTATTATAAAAATATAGAATAAGGTAACAGAATGCAGTTACAGAGTGAAATAAAAATAGAAACTACAGCATCAGTATTTAATTTTCACAGTCCTTGGGATGCCCACGCACAGGCTGAGGGAGACCCGGCACCAGCCAGGGCAGAGTGGCCGCATCCTTTCTGAGTCGGGGCCAGGAATGTGGAGTGGCATGGCCAGTGTCTGGGAGCAGTCCAGTGAGAACAGTCAGTCGGAAGCCCGCTTTCCTCCCCAAGCACGCATTGAGTCCAACCACAGCCAGGCCTCAGTGTCCCAAAGGTGACTCGGCGTTCACATCGGGGCCTTCACTTCATGCCTTCCACAGGTTTTTGCCCCAAGACTCCATTTTTTCTGACTCTCAAGGGCAGCCTCAATCACAGAGGGTAGGTCTAGAAGGGTCTTAGCCATTTTACCCATAAAGAAACTGAGGCTTGGGGAGGGGAAGTAGTAGTAAAAATAATAGCTGATACTTAAGGTCTGTACTCTTTTGATTCTTGCAGTAACCCTGTGAGATGGGTACCACTATGTTCCCCATTTTACAGTTGAGGAAACTGAGGCAGGTAGAGGATAAGTGACATGCCTGGGGTCCTACAGGTAGTAAGTGCCTGAGGCCAGATTTGGAGTCAGGGCTTTCAGCCCTGTATCCAGCACGCTGTTCACTGCACTGTCCAGCTGTAGTACTTTGTACTTCACTCCTATGCTTAAATGGCAGCTGATTAAGTATTTGCGTTAGGCCTCAACAAATTGAGTCCAAGTGGCATCCCTTCACGTAAATTCCTTACACTCATTTTCTCATCTAATCTCTGGCTGCCACAGACTCCACCAAGGAAGCATTTTGAAGCCTTGCCTAGGTGTGGCTTCCTCATTGCAGGCTCGACCTACCCTTCCTTCCAGGGGGGAGAGGCTCCCAATCCCTGGATGCTGGTACTCTGTGCCTAGCTGCTGTAAAGCCACACAAAGAGCAAAGAAAGGAGGTGGCCGGAATGACCTTAGACTTTGGGGAACAGGGATAGGCACAAACCCTGGGCACGGCTTTATTGGGCCAACCAGGAGGCAGAGGTACACACAGCTCTTCAGCTAAACGCCAATGTGGAAAAAACAAAGCCCCGTTTCTTCCCATGCAGTTTGAAGACCCACCATCTCTTCTGTGTAGAACTTACCTTAGGGGACGCCTTAGGTGTCTCTCCCGTCCCCCGTCCCCCGTGTTCAGCTGGGAACAAGGCAAGGCTCCTAGCAAGAGCTCAGGACTTAACCTGGGCGGGCCGAGGGACAGACAGTCCAGGACCCAGCCCCAATGAAAGCCTCGCCAGTTGGCTAAGGACTGCCTCAGCAGCGCCACCGAAGGCACATACCTTGTTCCAGAAACACACAGGAGAGAGCAGCTTCTGGGCTGCCAACTTACTCCGTCCTCCAGTCTTACCCACGTGAGCAGCATCCAAGGCAGATGTGATCTGGGGGACAAATCCTCATCAAGCACCTTCGAAGAGAATCACAGATCCGGGCAGCATTCTTCTGATAGTCTGACAGCTATGTTTCAGTAGAATTTGTTTCCTTCGTAATACAACGCATTTTATTTTATGCATTTAAAAATGTTCTGGGGAAGGGGTCCTTAAGCCTCACCAGAAGAGAGCTGTGGCACGAGGAAGGTTAAAAACCCCTGATCAAATCCAACCCCCTCATTTAACAGATGAAGAAACTGAGGCCCAGAGAGATTGTGAGTTGGTTAATTATACAGCTATGCCCATTCTTTTTCAAACATTCTAATTTTGGAGAAGGGAGAATGTTTTGTGAGAAGGAAACCAATTTTGGAATAACAGACTTTGAAAATTTCAGAATATTTAACTTAATTGACTGGTTGATTTTTTTTTCTATGAACGTTGATTAAACACCTGCTATGTATAAGTAAGGTGTGTGATGAGCCCGTAAGCAGACAGGGACACATTTCATAGAATTACTCCAGAAAAGTCATGTAAAGGATGGCAAAGATGTGTAGGACCCCAGGCTCCCTCCGTAGGTAATGTAGGTGAAACCCAGTATATCTGAGGGAGTGGACCCAGCTCACGGGGTGGGCCTCTGTGGCACGCTCAGAGAGGATGCAGATGAGCGTCTCCCAGCTTTGCCAGTGCGGGTGACCTGCCTCCCCTGACCACCTGAGAGTAATCAAAGACCTGTCAGAGTAGGAGGTTCAAGGCACTGTGTGAGGCCCTGAGGATACCATGACAAAAAAGGAATGACTTCCTGTCCTCGAGATGTTTACATTCTGTTGAGAGCATCATTCATTCATTCATTCATTCATTCATTCATTCATTCAAGCATATATTCTATCTAGATCCTCATCCATTCATTTATTCAACAAAACATTTGTTAAACACCATCCCAGCACTGGGGATACAAAGACAAAAAAGTGAAATCATACTATCTTCAAGGAATTTACATTGTGTCCAGACCCTCATTCATTCATTCATTCATTCATTCAGCAAAGCATTTATTGTGCATCTAACATGTGCCAGGTAGTAGGGATAAACAGACTAAAATTTTTTTAAATGAAGTAGTTCCTGTCCTCAAAGAGCTTATATTCTCTCCAGTTCCCTAGAGAGGACCCTATGAATATAGAATAAATTCTATTCACTCATTCATTCATTCATTCATTCATTCATTCAGCAAAGCATTTATTAAACACCTGTGTGCCAGATGGGCAACTGGGTGGCACCATATTATACAAAGCACTGGGCTTGGAGTCAGAAAGACTCATCTTCCTGCGTTTAAATCTTGCCTCAGACACTTACCAGCTATGTGACCCAGGGTAAGTCACTTCACCCTGTTTGCCTCAGTTTCCTCATCTGTAAAATGAGTTGGAGTAGAAAACCACTCCAGTATCTTTGCCAAGAAAACCCCACATGGGGTCACAAAGAGTAAGATAGGACTGAAACAACTGAACAACACCATCAGCATCCTCGTGAATGTGTACCAGGACTGTGCTAGCAGCTGGGGATTAAAAAAAAAATTAAAATCCCTGCCCTCAAAGAAGAAGTGGGGACAGTTCTTTAGTTGAAGGAATGAAAATGTTCCTCTAACTTAAAAAATATGCCTGAAGAGGATAGGTAAGGGAAGTTACCTCTCTATATAAGTTACAAGCATGTTCAGATAGAATAATTTGGGAGCACAGGAAACATTCCTTGACTAAATTCCCCTGGTTTGGTGAATTCTTTTCTGCTTAATCTAAAAACCTGCCCCTGCATTCTAGCTGTTTGCACAGCTCCTGGTCAGGGTCTGGGGACCTTGGATTCTGCTGGGCAGTTGAACAACCAAGCCCTGGGCCCCTTCCATGCTGGCTAGATCCAAGGAGCAACATGGCATATGTTTTAGTGTGTCTCCATAACTCCCAGGGGTCCCACCCACATTTCAGAAATGAATTAAAATATGCTAATGCACCATGACACCTCTGTGAGGCCTTAGAACTCTTCTGTAAACCCAGGTCTAAGGAGACATCCCCAGACAGGCAAGCAGAAGAGACACTGGTGGATGGAGTTGTCCAAGCTCTAGTCTGTTTGCTTGTAAATCATCCTCTCTAGGTGTTACTTTCTTACCAACTATATGAAGTTAATTATTATTATTAACTATTATTATATTATAATTATTATTAACTGTATTAAGTTAATTATTTACTTGCTGCCAACCATCTAAGGATGTGGTTATTTTGAATGGCCCCAAGGTGGTGTAACAGCCTCAAAGATGTAAGACATAAGAACTGTTCATCACTGAACAGTTACCATCATCTCCCAGCCACCCATTTTAAGCAACATTCTATCTTACAAAATACTGGCCACTGGTCTTCGAAGGGAAAGCTGTGTGGTGCACTGGATAGAGTGCTGAGCCTGGAGTCAGGAAGACCTGAGTTCAAATCCAGCCCCAGACACTTAGCAGCTGGGTGACCCTGGACAAGTCACTTCATGCTGGTTGCCTCAGTTTCCTCATCTGTAAAATGAGCTGGAAAAGGCAATGGCAAACCCCTCCAGCATCTTTGCCAAGAAAACCCCAAATGGGGTCACAGAGAGTTGGGCATGACTAAAATGACTGAACAACAATAAGTCTTTGAAGTCCACTGTCATGAGATCTGGATCTGTATTTCTCCTCTTTGCAGACCAGAAACATAGCTAGCTGTCTTCTAAGCTAATAAATGTTTATTGATGCATTGATTCTAAGCTCAGATACAGTCTCATCCAAAGCACCATAATTACCCGTTTTCATTCGGTCTGCCCGGCACATAGTAGGTGCCCAAGAAATGTTTGCTAATTGATTGATATCAAAGAATTCTAATAGGACATACTGACACACACTGGCGAATAGACTCGGGGCAGCTCACTTAACCACTGGGTCTGGTGACTTCCATTGATAAGAGGGAGTTTTCCTTATCTGGGGGAGCCCTGTTTTCTTGAAATCTCAGGTCCAGTCTGTAATTAAGAGGAAATGGAATGAATGTGCATCACATCTACTACAGTTATTCCTTCCACATCTTGACTTTCTCCATCATGGTTTGGATATATCGTGGGTTATCATAAGGAATTAAATGGGAATTTTGGGGGAGTTTTGTGGAAGCCACAGATGACACAGAAAAAGTTTAGAAACTCAGAAATGCATAAAAGATGTGTATAATATTGTATAATATCAATATGTTTTCTCTTTTAATAACATAATAATTCAGACTTCTTCTGTGGTACAAAGGGAGAGCAAAAAAATTTTATGAAGATATTCCAGATCATGAGAGCACCATACCCCTAACCCCCGCAATGTGGAAGGGATAACTGTACTATCCTGGGAGATGGTGTGAGGGCTGGACGATACCAGAGAAAAATACTCCTGGAAAAGAAATCAGAGACAAAGCATTTACCTGAATGTACTGCTAGAGAGAGAACAGAAATGCAGTCTCTGGGCACAATGGCTTTGAAGGAGAGAACACCACCATGCTTGGACGGCTTGAAGAATACCCCTCCCTACTTTAAATGTTGCCCTGGCTTGCCTACTTTGGTTAGTCATTGCAGGGGTTCTTCACATTTTGGGGGTCATAGACCCTTTAGGGCAGTCTATGGACCCCCTTCTCTGAATATTTTTTTAGATGCCTAAATTAAGAAGATTACAAAGGAAACCAAATATATTGAAATATAGTTATATATAACTATATTAAATTCTATAACTATATAGAACTATAGAA